AAAAAATGAATAATACTATTACTCTCCCTTACAAGAACTCTTGCTCCAATTATTACTTCAAATTTCCCAAGGTAAAAATGTTGTTTTCACACATCATAGTCGAAGATAATGTCACAAGGAGATTTTAGAAATGTTCTGTGCATTTTTCTGAATTTTTTATTCACTTTTTGTCAATTGCTTAAGTTTAAGATACAAAAATAAACCACTAATGACACGTGGCGGTACACAATACTGACACCTTTCAGACACTCTGATGACGCACCAATCTGGTGCTGCCATGTGTCATTTTCTTCCATTTATTAGTATTTTCCAATGCTTGAAGTTCCAAAAATCATAATAAATTCATACAAAATCTGAAAATTTCACCAAAGAATCCCACAAACTTCTTATCACATTTCCTTAATCTTTTAAGCTTTAAAAATATTATTTTGACATATACAAAATTCAAATAATTTCTCAAAGTTAAGTTTGTTTATATACTAACAATATTACTATTACTCTCCCTTACAACAACTCTTCCTCCCATTATTACTTCAAATTTTCCAAAGTCAAAAGTTTATTTTCACACATCATAGTAGAAGATAATGTCACAAGGAGTTTTTAGAAATTTTTGGTACATTTTTTGGATTTTGTATTCATTTTTTGTGAATTTTTTAAGGTAAAGACACAAGAATGAAGCTCTGATGACACATGGCATTACGCGATACTGACACTTGTCGGAAACTCTGAAACGTACCTATAAGACGCTGCCATGTGTTATTATATTTAATTTATTACTATTTTACAATGCTTTAACTCCCAAAATTCATAATAAATTCATAAAAATTCACAAAAAAATTACTTCATATTTTAAGCTTTAAATCCATTTCGATATCAAAACAAATAAATAATTTGATAGATGCCAGATGGCAGTGGTACGATGGTTAGGTGCAAGGTTTTTACCTTGCCTTTTGGTTTGGCAGAGATGACCACGTTGAATGATTATGTTACATTATATGTTTCAATGCTCACAACTCTTACAACATATTTCCTTGCCTTTAAGGTTGGAAGTTTTCCCATTTCACTGCAATTTCCTTCCCTTTTGTAGAAGCCCTAATGAATAAGTATTGAAGCCCTAATGAAATCTTTGTGATGCTTTTATGAAACATATTTTGACAAAAGTCAAAATGACATGTTTGGAACTTTACAAATTATTGAATGTGCTAATATTTTCTTCTATTACCCAAAATGATACACCACTAATGCTCTAGTGAATTCGTTCGGACACTTTTATAAAACTTGTTTTGAGAGAGTGATACTCGTAGAATGGATATAATTTATAAATGATTCACTTCCTCCAATTATTACTTCAAATTTCCATAAATAGTAATTAAGACTTCTTAGTAAAAATAAAATAAAACTTAGGAAGCTTTAGTAAAGCGATGTTGAAGCTGTAGTGAATCCTTTTGAAGCGTTTATGAAACATATTTTTGTGGCAAACAAGTGATGTTGCAACATTGTGATTCTGAACACAAGGCAACCAAAGCTTTAAACAAGGGCCTGCACAAATTAAATGAACACAATAAAAATAAAACCAAGCTACTAAAATTCCAATATTAAACCCAAAACGAAACAAAACAGTCCCAATTTAAGAGGAATACGCAGCAGTACCAAAAATACGTTTAAGCAATTTTTTTTTCTTTCTATATTCGATTACATTATGATTTAGCATATTACTGGTATCAGTTTCCAACGCTGCAGACAAAGCAAGATATGCACAAAAAGCGACATAATGAATATATCAAGAACCCTTCAATAATTTATCAATAACCAGTGAATAATGTATCAATAGTCCACCAATATTGTATCAGTCACCCATCAATAGTTTATCAACAACCCATCACTCCTGTCAATAGTTTATCACTGTCATAGAAAGTTTGAAACAAAAACACAACTAATAATTGTCTTATTACACAAAAACACCCAAATTAATGTCAGTTGTTTTTTCAATTGAGTACATGTTCACTAGGATGTTGTGGCTCTTGAGAAAGCTAAGACTAGACAAACATCTACCCCTCTAGTAAATACATCATTTTGTTGGTCGACAAAGATGGAAATGATAATATAAAGCAACATACGGCTGATTATCTACCAAATTTCAAGTGCTAAAAAGGCTTTTAATAAGGCATACCTGTAGCAATTGCAATTAGTTCCAACTCTACACCACCAACCCATCTGACAGCAGGCAAGTTCATGTGCATCAATAGGTGATTTGCTTCATCATCAAACCCCCATTGACAGATGACCAAGGTAGCACCCACATCCTGCATATCAGTGATTATCCGTGAGTAAACCTAGATGGTATAGTAATGAAGAAAAAGTTGCAGCATCCCTCTGTAGAAAGGAAAAACCAAGAAAATATGTCCCGTATGCCCATATGGTAGCCACAAATGACACAAATGGACAAAACATTAACAATATAATGAGTATTCTCATTAAACCAGAGAAACAATGACCAGTATGCATAAGGCTATGAGATGCCAAACAATCATTATCAATAATTGGAGCCCTATGAAACCTATAGCATAACTCGAAACAGGCCTTACCTACAATGAATCTCTTTCCAATGAACTCCACAACACTGTTGTCCTCTATCCAGAGGTATATCCAGCTGCAAACTAGAAGAGAAACACGAATATATCATAAGGAAAATTAAAAAATTTCTTTTCTTTAAGAGAAGGAAAATAAAAATCTCTGAAGAGCCCCTTAAGGGACTTATTCCTGTTTATGCTAGGAACTCTAAACCTACTATTTGGCAGTTGTAAAACTTTTTCCCCCGACTAACCATTCAGTGAAGCGGAGGGCAAGGCAGGCAAAAAACCCCTCAAGTCTACATCTATAATCCCAAATTTGCCACATACCCGCACACCCAATACCCATTTCGCCAAAATTAATGTCTTTACATGAGATTTATTCAAAATACCATATTTTTAAATGTTCAAATTAAGAAAAGGAAGAGGAATGTACCAGATTTCTTAACCAGAGCAAGGAAGGAAGGAGATAACCTCTGCAAGAGACAAGAACCAGAGAAAATAAAGAGAAGAGCTCACTTGTGTTAATCATGAGGAGACAAGAACCAAAACACAGTCTTAATCATCAAACAAACACATAATAACATAGCCGAGTTGTTCAATCCATTCTATGCTTTTCTATAGCCCATAAATTATAAATATTGGTACAAAGAGTAGACAACAAGCAGAGACATGGAATGAAAAACAAAACCTCAAGATCATATCCTAATACCCACAAACAAACACAATCAATCATATTCAACCCCAATATAAATCATGCCCACCCAAACAAAAAAATCTAGTTTTTTTGCCTTTCTTCTAAATAAAACACCTCAAATCTACACATACAACCCCAAATTTTTCACATACCTGCACATCCAAAACCCATTTCCCAAAAAGAAAGCGATAGATCCAGATTGGTAGCCAGTCATGATAGTTTTCACGAAAATATTTCAGAAGAGAAGAGTGATGCTTTGTATAGAAATGAAAGCGAGGAAGCCAGTCTATTGATCCGTCTCTGAATATGGGTAGATGGAAAAATAGATGAGAAAAGAGGGATGTAGTTTAGGGAGATTGAAAAGTCATCTGGAAAGGTAAAGCTGATTGCTTTAAGTTTTTTAATATAATTTTGGGGCTAAAATATCAACATTCAAGGACAGAGTCAACAATGCGGGAAAAAATGGCGCCCACGCGGGAAAGAAATATTTTCCGAAAAAGTTTTGGAGGAGAGAGGAGAGAGAGAGAGCAAATTGAGGGTCAGATTCTAGTACAACAGAGTACAACAGATTCACTTAGAATTGCTTTTTCTGAGCCATTAGATTAAATCCAACGGTGTTCTCAAAAAGAAGTTCTCAAAAAGAAGTTCCCACCAGAGAACAGCCCTTTAAACAATATTTATAAATGAATATGAAATTAGGGATCAACATTTGGCCCGTGGCGAATGGGCCGAAGTGGGTAGCTCGATGACTCAAAGCCTGTTACAGCTCGTTGTTTAGGCTCATTCGGTTTGGTCAGCTCTTAAATTGGATAGGGCTTGGGCATAGAATTTGAAACCTTCAGTCCGTTTACGGCTCGGCTCGCCTAGGCCTGTTTAGGCCCTATTTTTTTAAAAACTTAATTGATCCACTCGCTAACCTCAGTTTAGAGTTCATTGAAATAATATAATATGTAGAATGAATTAATAAACTTTTTTTTTTTTTTTTTCACATTTGTTATGCATGAAGTTAATTTTTCAATGTTATCTAAAAATTTGTAACAAAAAGTTATAAAAGACATTGAACTACAACGCCACATCTAAGTGCACTCTCTAACCTTATTTTAGACTTAATTCAAATAATGTAATATATTAGATTAATTAATAAACCTTTTTATTTTGTTTACACATTTATAAATTGAGTTCATTTTTTCAATGTTGTCTAAAAATTTGTAACAAAAACTTATAAGATATTGAATTGCAACTCCACATCCAAATCCAATCACTTGCAAAATCAAAAAGGCATGGCCCATGTAGGCCCATGTTCGGCCCTGCCCACTAGGCTTGGCCCAGGTGGCGAGTCTGGGCTTAGACATTTAAAATCTTGGCTAGACCGGACTTAGGCTGAAAAGGCAAAATTGAGTTGGTGACTTGTGCCTTGTGTGTTGAGTGGCCCAAAGACGAACCCTAGACGAGATGATGGTTAGAGTTGGGTGGGCAACCATATATTTTCTGGAGTATCTAAACTATTGTTTTCTAATATTTAATGCATGTTTGAATTTCTAGGTTATTATCTTTGTTTAATATAACTCTTTGGGTTAAATGTTATATGATATAAAGTTATGGTTCTCTATTAGATGCAGACTCGAAACTTACAAAAATATATGTTTACGAAAAGTACGTACTTGTAGCTATAAAGTTATAAACCAGAGAAATCAGCACAGCTTTAATCCACAATCACAATACAAACCAAAAAGATATTAGATTCTGTTGACAGAAATTTGTTTAACTCTCGCATGTCGTACAAAAGAAGCTCCATCAATATAACATATAGCTTACAAGCCAATATTAGTATCAACAAGAACAATTAAAAGAACGACAGGTTTTGTTGACATAAATTCCAACTTTTTTTTATTTTATGAAAACATAGTTATATATATCTTCCTAACAACCTCCACCTCCAAAACCGCCACCTCCAAAATTACTACCTCCACCGCCACCTGAAAAACTGCTACTAGCAGCAGCATCTGCTGCACTATGGTGTGCAGCATGGTGTGCAGCATGGTGTGCAGGGTGTGCAGCATGGTGTGCAGGGTGTGCAGCATGGTGTGCAGCAAAGCCACGGCCACGGCCACCGCCTCCGTCTCTTTTCTTGCTTGATCCTTCATCATCACCACAAGCAAATATGACCATTGATATAAGTGAGAGAGACATAAGAATCATGCAGAGCAAAAGTATCCCCCCCGAGTTGTCTTGAATGATGCCTAGTTCCTCTGCGTGGCCACCACCTAGAACAACATATGCTCCTCTAGCCATTTTTTCGATGAGTTACAAGATTAGCTAACAGTTCGTTAATCCAAGCATATATATATTTATAATGTAATGTCAACAAATGCCGTGTGCAATTCAAAGTCCTGCTATTCAAAGTATTCGGTTCACGATTCTAGCTGTGGAAAATTCGTTCTTCACAACCTGATGTTGAAGAGCTCGAAGAGACAGACAGAAACTTGTGAAAATTTTCAAAGAGAAAGGGATAGCTAGATTGAGATGCAATAATTGCTGCTAGCTTTATGTTTTGCTTGGTGAAAATGCTAAGAAGATCAGATGTGAGATTTTGTTTCTCTCTTCCTTAATTGTGGACAAGAAAAATACTTACGTCCACTCCAGATTCCATCTCCCCATGGACATTGACCAATGATATTTTTGTACATGTCTTTTCTTTTTAATTTTTGGGTTTTTATCACAATGGTCCTAAGGTTGGCGAAATTATCACATTTGATCCTTTATGTTTTTTTGGACATTATTAGTCATTTATCAATTTGGTCCTGCTATTAGTTTCCATCAAAATTTCTCTGAAATAATCACACATGACTTTAAATAAAATATAATGACATATTTTAAATAGTTTAAAACTTCAAATCCTTTAAAAAAAAGAAAAGAAAATTAAGTCTTTTTATAAATAAAAAAGATTAAAACAAAAACAAAAACAAAAATACATGCAACCATCCCCCTCTGCGCTCTCCCTTTGCCAAAGACCCCCACCTTCGTAGACCCACTCTTTGCCTCTGTCTCCAAACCAGCCCATTGCCATCCCTAGACGAGAGAGATGTATAATTCTAGAATCTGCTGAGTTAGTGATATCTCTCATAGGCTTCTTAAAAACCCAAGTAGAAACATTACGCACTGTGCCAGCTTGTTTCCCAGAAGACTTAGACATGGGGGAGGCACGCTCAGGAGCTTGAGCAACCGATTTAGAAGCCTTCTTGGAACCAAAAGGACCAGGGGTGAAACCCGCATCCTCATCGTCCCTACCATCATCATCCCTCAAAATATTAAATCTGGAGCCAGACTGGCTAGTGGCAATCTTCACACCACTAGCCTTATCAGACTTCTTGGTAGAAGAGAATAACTGCCCTTGTTCATGTGGAACCTTCTTTTTGAAATTTTTTGGTTTCATTAGCATCCATTGACCATGCATCTTAGCTGGAATCTTAGCAACTAAATTAGTAGGGTCAACAACAACAACATCCTCATTTGGAGCGAGAGGAGTACCCTCCATATTCTCAGAAGCATCTTCCTCAGCAAACTGCTTTTGCTTAGCCTCCACAATAACAGGGCATGTATCTCTACCATGCCCAAAACAACCACATTCAAAGCAGACTAGCTGAATCCCCTCATAAACAACCCCAAAAGTACGTCCCTCAACTTCAATAAAGGGGATAAGAGGCTTCAATAAATCAAGTTCAACACACAGCCTAGCAAACTTACCTCGAGCTTGACCCATAGTATGCGCATCCACCTTAACGATAGTACCAATGAGATTTCCAATTTTCGTCATAACATCAGTACGAAAATACTCCACATTCAACCCATTGATTCGAATCCAAGCTGTCATGTGAGTAACCCTCTCTTCTTTAGCATTAAACCTAGGTTTCCAATTTTGAGTCACAATATATTGCCCAGCAATTTTCCAGGGACCGCAAGTGAGCACATACCTCTTATCTTCCTCAAGAAGAAATTTGACAACGAAATAATTGTTCCAGATCTATTAAACTCATTGGACCCTTCAACTCCCAGCGTTGAAGCAAACGATCACGCAAGAAAGTATACGAAAGAGGGCGACCCATTAGCTTGATAATCACAGCAGTCCTCCAAGGCGTGTACAAGCAATCCTTAACCCTTTCAGAAAATTCAATGGATGGAATAGCCCCATGCTTGATTACAACATCATCATCATTGATTTCAAACTTATCCTCAGCCATCCCAAAATCACCAGAGACTTTATCTTTGAAGCTCATTGAAATTGGGGGCAAAGAAGGAGGAAACACATCAGAATCCAATCCACCAACATCCAACATCTCCCGGTTACGAGCATGCTTCTCTCCAGCAACTAGGCCCTCCTTTGAGCCACCACCAGCAGCGAACACAAACTCAGATATCCCATCCGCCACCATGGGCAGTGGAACAGTCACAGCACAATGAAGAGCCAAAAGATCGTGAAATCCCTAGAAAAACCCAAGTGCGTGCAGCGCGTTCTACAACTAGGCCTCTTTCATGTTTTTTTCCGGATCAATTCAAACCTTTTTTAGTTCATTCGTTCTTTGGTTGAGTGATTAGTAAGGAATTTGCTTAATTTAATTCAAGAATGGAAGCATAGATGTAATTGTAAACCTGGATGGATCAATGTTAAAATGCAATACGCAAGATTGATATGTGATTCAATCCTTGTACTACACAGCAAAATAAAAAATCAGAACACAACAAACTGAGAAAATAAACGACGACAAAGTGTTTGTACGAAATCTCGCACGAGGAAAAAACCCTCCACATAGGAGAGAAAAACCTCAAGGCACACAGCCAATTTCACTAAAAACTTGAGGACATATACAAGACTCAATTGATACTCACTGACATATACAAGACTCAATTGATACTCACTACTACAAAAAACGAAATAGACGACGGTAATCCACCGTCGTGTATCATGTTTTACAACCGATGAGAAATCGACCGCCGTCTTTTAGCATATGAAATAACGACGGCAAATACCCGACGTCGTTATTATATTACACGTCATAAAAAAACTAAAACCGACGTCGATTTCATACATAAAAGCATAAAAAGAGAATTTTCGACTATAATAGACGACAGTTTTAGTAAAACACAGACGTTTAAAAAATGTTAAATGTCAAAAACAACTACAAACACAACGTAAATATTTTTATCAACGTCTCTAAATCAAACAAAACCGACGTGTAAAACTTAGAAACCGTCGTGGTTAATAAATACTACGTTCACTAAATAAAAAAACTGACGTCTAAAACATATAACATGGCATATATTTACTTGAATTGACGTAAAAACAATAATAACCACGACCCTTTATCTCACCACAGACGTTGAAAATTATTTTCACGGCTTGAACACAAAAACAACGACGTGGTTAACATATAACACGTCACAAAAACACTAAAACCGACGTCGATTTGATACATAAAGCACAAAAAAGAGAACTTTCGACTATAATAGACGACGGTTGTAGTAAAGCACAGACGTTTAAATAATGTTAAATGTCAAAAACAACTACAAAACGGACGTAAATATTATTATCAATGTCTCTAAATCAGACAAAACCGACGTATAAACATTATAAACCGTCGTGGTTAATAAATATTACGTTCACTAAATAAATAAACTGACGTCTAAAACATATAACATGGCATATATTTACTTGATAGTGGACCAATTATTACTTGATAGTCTAATTCATATATTGGTGTTGTTCTCTTTTAAATTTCTGTTTTGTAACTGAACTGAAAACAGGAGCAACTCCAAAATTAGTTCTTCAATTGATGAATGTGAGAGCACTTAGCATTGCCCACGTAAAGAGTCACTTGCAGGTAATTAACTTTTCACTGGTGCCCCTAACTGGATATGTTTAGTTTTTATTTTGTATCAATTAATTTTCAGTTCTATAGTTTCCTGAATCATCATGAAATTTTTGAATCAGCAGATGTATCGAAGTAAGAAGCTGGACAAGTCAGGCCAAGGTAAAGTATCAAAACCCACCTTAAATTTTGGAACTAATTCGCTATTGGTCCCGTAAATTTTTATTTTTTATTTTGAGAGGAAACTGGAAACCCAAAGTGTTTACATGAAGCAGATGTGGATTAGGTTTGAGTTGATCCCTTTCCCCGTAGATTAGAGTAGTTTTGACCAATTGGATTCTTATTGTACGCCATAAAGCAATGCCTTTCTTCGAGAGAAAAGCTCACAAAAAGTTTGTATACTTGTTCTGTTCAGTTATCTCTCAATCAAGTAGAGGAATGCAAGTAAAAGATCACATTCTGGAAGTCTACCGCAAATTCAATCCTTATGGGCACTTAAGACATGTTGATGACAACGGAAGCCATTTTTCTTCTCCACCGGTATTGAAACAGCAGCCATATGATGATTTCAACGCAAACTCTTCAAGGTAATTTAACAGTCAAACCTAAAGAACTTGTATTCTTAATTATTTACTAAATTAAGGGAGAAATGTTGCTTAGTAGACATACGGATCACATGTTAAGTTGCGAAACTGTAAAACTGGACTATTGTCGGACATATGAATGGATTCAAGTTTGGATATATATGTAGTCCAGAATTCACAGTTTCACAACATAAAATGTAAGCCATTTGACGAAAAGAACATTCCCGGTATGAAAGGCTCTATACACATAGATAGATACCAACCTTGAGCTTTTTGTGATCCTTTTGTGAAGGTCGATTTCATTGTGGAGAGAAAATTCCGGGATAGACAACCATGGGAGCAATATAAGAAGCTCACACATTTTTCATGTAAGGGAAGCAAGAACAAGAGATGGGCCTTTTAGACCCAGCCGATTTCTTGAAGAGAAGAGATGGCCTCCTTGTCAATTGATTGGAAACCACAAGGGTAGGAGACATTTGCTAAACTTTACTTGGAGTGATATCAACAATGTTCCACAACCTAATAACTTAGTATGGAGCGCCAAAGCAAGTACCATTAACCAACATCAACCCAATACATGCAGTCCAAAGTTCATCTCTAGTAGCTATGAACCCTTATCTCAGCTTGAGGTAACCACTTTTGCTTCAGTTATATAATTATTTGTAACATTTTTACTGGCTATGCATATTCAAGATTCATTTTGATACGCAGGTTCAAAAACTTCAATGCACAAATGAAGAAATGTTTCAACCAAAAGTTGGCCCCAACATGAAAACGATGAGACAGAAGACATGGGTACCAGATTTACAGTTAAGTTTAAGTCACGATTTCAGCAATGGCAGTGTGGTAAATGATAGCCAAGAAAGCAGGAAAGATTTTGAATCAATGCTTTCTCTTTCGTTGTCCTCCTCTTCGGCCAGGCAACAAGAACAATCCACTACACCTACGTCAAGAATTCGACTCTCGGTTTCAAGGACTTAGGTGTTCTTGAAAAGAAAAAAAGAAAAAAGAAAACATTAAGATATTACCCAAGTTGTAAATTGAAATCAACAAACAAATTGCACTAGAACTACTTATGGGCTAAGTACTTAGTACGATCTGACCGTGCATGTTGATAAGGCATGGGAGTGAGATCTTGTAAGTACTTATCTCAAAAGGTCATCTGCGTGGCCTTGAATAATATGGGTTTATAAAATTGAATAATTAGTTTCTAGTTATTATTATTATTATTATTTTTTGTCTGAAGAAAAAAACCTAGAAGGTTGCTTGCTCTTCACACATAGAAGGTGATGTGGATCATCTCGAGGATTTGCTAGTTGTATGTATAATGAAGCACAGGACGATTCATAAGTTGATGAAAGTGTACGTAATTCTTGATTACCCCTTTCACTTTGAGGGTCACCTTTGCCAATTTTCTTGGTGAGGATGCTGAAAGTGTAGCCGTTGGTTGAAGTAAAAAAATAAGGGAAAAGATATATTTTTGGTTACTGGAGTTAGGGTAAAAAACGATTTTGGTCACCGTAATTTTAAATTTTCTAATTTCATCATTGCACTTGCAGTAGTTAACAAATCAAGTCCATTCTAAGACTAGGAGGAGAGACTTTGGTAGACATTCGAAGTGGTCGTCGTCCATGGATGATGGATCTGGGTATACTCTGACGAAGATATGGGTCAATAGATGCCATATTTTCTTAGGTCATGTTTGATATGGAGGATTAGATTGGTCTAACTTGGACTAATAAAATGACTAAATTTTATGTGAATCAAGGAAGAATATGGATGGTGTTTTCTAACTTGAAGGATTAAGGTAGACATGTGAGGTTGATGTTTAAAATTTATCTTCAGTAATCCCCTTGAAATTGATGGGATTAATAGAGATAAGTTTTAGGCATCAACCTCTTATGAATAGTTCATCCTAATCCTCCAAGTTAGAAGACAACACCCATAATATTTCTTAATTGCACATGAAATCTAGGCCTTCTAATAGCTAGTCAAGTCTACTCCTCCATATCAAACATGGCCTTATGGTTTTGCTTATTCCTGCGTTGATTAAAATGGATAAGGGAGAAGGTTAGATAAGGGTAAAGGTGGATTTGGGGTAGATCTGAGAGGGGAATTATTGGTTTGCAGAGATTTTAAAGAGGGTTTGCAGATTTTGAAGCAGCTATACAAAACAATACTATTAAACACCCTACCCCACTTCCCTATCTTCCATAGAATAGAGTCCAACCAAGGTGGTGCCGCATCAGTCCAAGGGAAACGGGTGCTTTCTTTCAAGCCATATTGGGCAAGAGCATGTGCCACACAATTGGCCTTTTGAGGTTGATACAAAACATCTGTCGCATCCCTATTGAATCTTCCACCACATTTCCAAATGTTGCTCCACCGGTGTTGTGCCTCAAAAGAGGTGTTTTAAAAATTTATAAACTCGCAAGCGCACGAATCGAATACAGCATAAGCGTGTAAGAGCGAGATCGTACCCAAGGGATTGCGTGTAAAGATAGAAAACCAATTTCACCCAAGTTAATTTCATTGCCAACCTAGTTGATTCAAATGGTGATTTGTTTGTTCAAAAAGAAAATAAAAGAAAATAAAGCATAAAACAAATATAGCAATGACAATAAACTGAAATTAAGATTTACATTTATGAGAAAAATAATTAAGGTATTAGATTTCCACTTCTAACATAAACATGCAACTCTTAATAATTTGATCCACAAAATATTTTCCAATGTAGTTGTTCAAAATAATTAAAGCTCTTTTTAATTTCCTTTAGAAGTATTCTAAGCATAACTTGTACCATTGGCAACAAACTATCAAAAAATAATCTTCATCAAAATTCTATTAATCTTTAGTAATTCTCTTCTCTTTTAAAAGCATGAAAGTTTTTACTACACAATGGGAAAAACATGATTGAACCCATGAAATAGATTATCAAACATTCATCAATTAATTAAAAAGAAAACTACAAATTCCATTTGAACAAATACTACAAATTCACATTAAAGCTTAAGTTTGGATCAAACTAATAAAAATTACACACTTATATTAAAAGCTAGCCTACGGAACCATGAGGTATTAGAATCCACACCATCATTCCATAAGATCCTAATTATTTATCTTTCAATTCCCATGGAGTAGCAATCTAGAAATCAATCTAATGCTTTCTCAAGATTTATCATTTAAGCTTGTAATTTAGATCATAAGTAAATTTTCCTTCCCTTCATAAGTACAAATTCTAAGCATAATATGTAAACAAAATTATTTAACTACAAAGGATCAAAGTTTCCTAAGCATCCTATGTGAAAAAGTTTATTTGAATAACAAAATATCAAAGAAAATTGTAAATTAGAAATATAAACCAAGGATGAATTAATAGATTAATCCAAACTCTTAACTACCACAAATACATGTTATATCTCACAATACATGATAGAAGTGGTGAAAAGAATTTTAATCTATTAATCATGTGAAGTGAAAATTATAATCATTGAACACCACAATAATTGAGAATTGAAAATAAAAACTAGAACTTTATTTAATAATGGTGTTTCATCCAACCTTAGTTAATTGGAATCAAAACATTCACCAACTATTGTAAACTAAATACATTTAACTTATTTAAATGATAAAATAAATTGAAATATTAAGTAACGGTAATAACTCAATTAAAACCAAAGAGGAGATATCAAAACCGACAAAGCTAACAATTAATATAAAAGTATCAGGTCATAGATTTTATAAATATAGAAAATAATTGCTGTTTTAAAGAAGTAATCAAACCACTCAAAAATCTGGAAATATAAGTTCAACCTAAAATAATTAATAAAATATTTTTGTATTTTGAAATACTTACAAAAATTCCAACAGTTAGGAATCAGCCATTCTTTTGTCAGTCATGGAGAAAGAAAAATGAAAAAGGAAGGGTAACGTAAGATTCACAAATTCACAGATAAATTATTGGGAGATTCACTATTATATCCAATAGAAGAGCCCAAATTATAACAAAAAACCCTATATGAAATGGACTTTAGAAACACACCCAAAACTCATTTACAACATAATAAAAAGACTTTTAACTTCTTTTAAATTACAAAATTTCCATTGATATCTTAAAACAAACCAAACCCCAAAATCTCATAAAAAAAACCCAAAACACTCAATACGGCATCAAAGTAATTTAATAATCAAAATTAAATTCAATAGGGTTAGCTATCATTTTTTGAGGTTTTTTTGGGTTTGTTTATAGAAATTAAATTGTGTAGGGTTTATTTATAGTTTTAGTACTAAGAATGGGTATATGACTAAATATCTCTAAATTATTTAGGGTTTAGAGTTTAGGATAACGTAATATTGTTATCTTTTTTGGTAGGATGATCAATATTGTTATCTTTTTCTTATGGTGAAAGGAAATATTGTTTCTTTGGCCTTGTTGAGAGAATAGCGATAGAATTTTACTGTTAGGAAGCTTAACTAGTACAAAAAAATGGGCTATGTCGTAGGGGATTTGGCTTGGTAAATGCACGTTTAATTATTTAAAAAAAAAAGAAAAAGCAGTGGGGTATATTTCAATTCTTGTTAAAATCAGTTCTTACCATTCAATTTCTTCTGGTGAACATTTCAGTATTCGTCATTATTTTCTACCCAAAACTGTATATATGTAGTACTGTTCATTAACGTTTTTCATATCCTACTGTGTGTTTGTGGCATGGGAGCGTTGTGGAGTTTCAGCTCTTCATCAGTGGATTTGAAAGCATGATCCTACTGTCTTTGTCCACCAGCTGGAAATGGACCGGGACAGAGGCATCAGAAGTTCTTGAAAAAGAAATGTCAAGTGTGACATGCACGTTTAATGTGTGGACAAATGACATACACTTGATCAATTAATGTGCAACATAATTAACTACCTACCACACATGGGACATAGCATAGGAGGATGTATATACGTTCATCATCAAAAAAGAAAAACATTCATATAAATATGTATGTTGTTTGTTGTTGTGCCTCAAAAGAGGTGTTTTAAAATTTATAAACTCGCAAGCGCACGAATCGAATATAGCATAAGCGTGTAAGAGCGAGATCGTACCCAAGGGATTGCGTGTAAAGATAGAAAACCAATTTCACCCAAGTTAATTTCATTGCCAACCTAGTTGATTCATATGGTGATTTGTTTGTTCAAAAAGAAAATAAAATAAGATAAAGCATAAAACAAATATAGAAATGACAATAAACTGAAATTAAGATTTACATTTATGAGAAAAATACCTAAGGTATTAGGTTTCCACTTTTAACATAAACATGCAACTCTTAATAATTTGATCCACAAAATATTTTCCATTGTAGTTGTTCAAAATAATTAAAGCTCTTTTTAATTTCCTTTAGAAGTATTCTAAGCATAACTTGTACCATTGGCAACAAACTATCAAAAAATAATCTTCATCAAAATTCTATTAATCTTTAGTAATTCTCTTCTCTTTTAAAAGCATGAAAGTTTTTACTACACTATGGGAAAAACATGATTGAACCCATGAAATAGATTATCAAACTTTCATCAATTAATTAAAAAGAAAACTACAAATTCCATTTGAACAAATACTACAAATTCACATTAAAGCTTAAGTTTGGATCAAACTAATAAAAATTACACACTTATATTAAAAGCTAGCCTACGGAACCATGAGGTATTAGAATCCACACCATCATTCCATAAGATTCTAATTATTTATCTTTCAATTCCCATGGAGTAGCAATCTAGAAATCAATCTACTGCTTTCTCAAGATTTATCAATTAAGCTTGTAATTTAGACCATAAGTAAATTTTCCTTCCCTTCATAAGTACAAATTCTAAGCATAATATGTAAACAAAATTATTTAACTACAAAGGATCAAAGTTTCCTAAGCGTCCTATGTGAAAAAGTTCATTTGAATAACAAAATATCAAAGAAATTTGTAAATTAGAAATATAAACCAAGGATGAATTAATAGATTAATCCAAACTCTTAACTACCACAAATACATGTTATATCTCACAATACATGATAGAAGTGGTGAAAAGAATTTTAATCTATTAATCATGTGAAGTGAAAATTATAATCATTGAACACCACAATAATTGAGAATTGAAAATAAAAACTAGAACTTTATTTAATAATGGTGTTTCATCCAACCTTGGTTAGGTAATTTAAATAGACATAATTAATATTTAAAACAAAACAAAGAAACTAAAATACATAAATTAAATGAGAACTAGGAAAGGAAGAACAAGTTTAAAAGAGTTATTAGCTCTTGGTTCTTTCCTTTCCATCATTGTTCTCTTTCTTCCTCACTCTCTCTCTATCTTTGCCGTGTGTTTTTCTCTCCCTTGATCTTTGCTCAAAACTTGTATTTATAGCCAAAGAAAGGGAGTCTTGAATTATATAATAATCAAGTAGCTTACTTTTCCAAATATCTTTCTCATCTTTAGCCTACTTCCTTTACTTTGGTTTCACAAAGATCTTTGAGTCTTCTTATCAATTGCTCCACTTGCTCCATCTCATCTCTCGTATCTTCTCATAAAAACTGCAACAACTTTCCTCAAATGGTAGCTAGATAACAACTCGAGCATCATCATTCTTCTTTGCATTCATTGGTTGCAAGTAGTCAATTTGAACTTCTCCTTCATTGTTTATTCATTCTTTCTTTATTTCTTCAATGATGGAAGCTTGCATGCATGTCCTAGAGCATATTAATGCAATTGATTGCTTCTTCTTTGGTTTTGGCATTGAACCACACGTTGTTTTGAGCATATTTCCTTGACCATGGCTGCACACATTTTCATCTTTCTTCTATCTTCTTTTTGCAACACATTACTTATTCCTCCTCCTCCTCATGCCATTGGTGGAAGACACTTAATATCTACAAATAACCACTCAATAAGTATAAAAACAAGATTTGGAATGAAACAATAAAAATACTCTAATAGATTTACATAAAACAAAAGAAAATACTAACAACTATAAATTTAAGGATAAAACTTGTATTAATTTTGTGCTCATCAACCGGTCCATTCTACCATTAAGCATATATGGCTTCTTGGGAGTTAGTTGCAAGAATAAAGCGATTAAATCCCAATGAGCCCATTATCATTAAATCTTAGGTCATGGTTTTGAATAATTTAAAAAAATATATACAAGCAATATTAGGTGATAGATAATTCGAATCGTCTCTGATATTGGTATAATCACTTAAGTTACAAGTTCCTTGTTTGAATAATCTTTATATATGAATATAAGACCATTATTATTACGAGCTCTAAAGTCTTGTGTTCAAAAAAAAATTTATGATTTAAAAGTGAACTTTGAGGGGTTAAAAAAGTGGTCATTCTATCAACATTTGATGACGGAAATTGTCAATTGTCCTCAAATTGTAAATGGTAGGGAATACACTGCCCAAAATGGGAAATTACGGATTATTGCATTTTTGTTGATAGAAATTTAAAGTGAATTTTAAATCGAGAATGACAAGCACTACCATGACAATTAATAAAAACACTATCTGACCACCATATATACATGCATGTACGAAGCTCCTTTAATATAACATAGCCTAGAATCCAATACCTTATTTTTGGTTCAATCACAGTTGGAAAAAATACAGAGATTACAAGAGCCAAAAAAGTCAATACATAGGAACAAAGAACAACAAGCATATGAGAGTTCAAACTAAAAACCATTACAGTCTAGCAAAATGAATCTTCCCCATCACAAAGCCAAAATAAAATACAAAACAAAAGCAAACAAAGCCATTGCCACAAAGGGAACAAGGACTGCACCAACATAGCGACAAAAGGGGAGATACACTTCCCTCACATAAATCAGCACAGCTACACAAAGAGACTCACCAATTTGCAGCCGAGAAACAAATTTCCCCAAATCACAAAAGTACATCCACACTAGAACATCCATCTAAGACACACAATCTCTGTGAAGGCCGAATCCGCCTCTGTACCATAGAGAAAACAACAACCATTCAAACCATGGTATATCCCAAAAGACCAAAACCAAGAGAATGGAAGATAGTGGTGCAAACACCAGAGCAGGAGCCATAGCTATAGCCATAGTAAGAGCTCTATACACTTTCCAGAAAATACGCGAAAATTCGCTTATAGAAGTGGTTGATGTAGCCCAATGGAGAGGCCATATCCAGAATGTGGATAAGGCAAGAAGAGGAGGGGATGTAGAGGAGGAAGTAAATATGTTTGTAGGGGGTGTTTGGCGACGAACGGGGGACACAAACTTAGCCTGACATTTAAACTCAGATCTGAGCACAAGGCTCAAACAACCACCACTAGGGAGGAGCCACCAACTCTTAAGAGAGCCACAGCACGGCCAAACAAGCTCTTGCCAAAAATAAGAACACACGCACCATGAGACACCAATGCAAAAAAGATAGAGAAGTAGCAGAGCAAAGGAGAAAAGGGGGAGGAGGGATATGCCTCCTCCTCCCCAAAAAGAGAACTGTGCAACGATGAGAAGAAGAGAGGAAAAAGGCACTTAGGTTTTTGTTTTTGTTTTTAATTGTTGGGAATCCAATACCATTATCAACAAGAACTCTACATATAAGAAGGATATGTCTTGTTTACCTAAATTCGAACTTCTTTTATGACACAACTATAAGATCTCTTTCCTAAGTATTTCCACCTCCACCACCACAACCTCCACCACAACCTCCACCACAAGCTCCCAATGGAGAGGCCATATCCAGAATGTGGATAAGGCAAGAAGAGGAGGGGATGTAGAGGAGGAAGTAAATATGTTTGTAGGGGGTGTTTGGCGACGAACGGGGGACACAAACTTAGCCTGACATTTAAACTCAGATCTGAGCACAAGGCTCAAACAACCACCACTAGGGAGGAGCCACCAACTCTTAAGAGAGCCACAGCACGGCCAAACAAGCTCTTGCCAAAAATAAGAACACACGCACCATGAGACACCAATGCAAAAAAGATAGAGAAGTAGCAGAGCAAAGGAGAAAAGGGGGAGGAGGGATATGCCTCCTCCTCCCCAAAAAGAGAACTGTGCAACGATGAGAAGAAGAGAGGAAAAAGGCACTTAGGTTTTTGTTTTTGTTTTTAATTGTTGGGAATCCAATACCATTATCAACAAGAACTCTACATATAAGAAGGATATGTCTTGTTTACCTAAATTCGAACTTCTTTTATGACACAACTATAAGATCTCTTTCCTAAGTATTTCCACCTCCACCACCACAACCTCCACCACAACCTCCACCACCTCCACCACCACCACCACCACCACCACCACAACCTCCGCCACCGCCATCGCCATGTCCTCCGCCCCCACCACAACCTCCACCACCACCATCACCATGTCCTCCGCCCCCATCTCCGTGATGACCATATGCAAAGGTATCTGAAACAGTTGGCACATTATTGTGTTTCTTCTTGCGAGACGATTGACCACAAGAAAATATTACAGCTGAAATTACTGAAAGGGACATCAGGATCATGCAGAACAAGAATAGTCCACCACCAGCACTTGGAAGCAATTCATCTGCATGACTATCACCTATACCAACAAGGTTCCTAGCCATTTCTGTTCGTGTTTTGCGAGCCTAACATTAGGAGGAGGAATTTATTTATAGATCCTAATTCCCATGATAATTAATAATAATAAATTTTTTGAAAGTTGGATAAGAGACGATATCTCCACCTTATGTTGCACCCCACGTGGATTGCGTGTCACTAAGGCTTGCCCGTAATTATGTTCACATTAGACTATATGTTGTGAGGGTCGTCCACTTTGGCCAAATAAGAATATGCCCGTGAGAAAATGTAATCATGGCGCCCTCGGTTGATTTGATCATTGATAAAAATAAAAATAAAAATAAAATAAAATAATCTGCAAAGAAGGAATGACCCCAAATTTGTGTGATATCGATTAAAACAATTCCGAATGGATGGTGTAATATTTATGTGTTGAGTGGCCGAAAGACGAACCCTAGACGAGCTGATGGTTAGAGCTGGGTGGGGCAACCAGGGAAATGCTTGATGTTGTGGGGAGGGTTGCTCTCTAAATCTATCTACTAGTAGTATTAGAATTTCCTATTTCGTTTATGAGAGGGTCTAGTAGTTTATTTATCATATGCCAAAGATGCGGACTCGAAACTTACAACAATATGTTTACGAAAAGTACGTACTTGTAGCTATAAAGTTATAAACCAGAGAAATCAACACAGCTTTAATTCCACAATCACAATATAACGTATAGCTTACAAAGCCAAGCCAATATTAGTATCAACAAGAACAATTAAAAGAACGACAGGTTTTGTTGACATAAATTCCAACTTTTTTTTATTTTATGAAAACATAGTTATATATATCTTCCTAACAACCTCCACCTCCAAAACCGCCACCTCCAAAATTACTACCTCCACCGCCACCTGAAAAACTGCTACTAGCAGCAGCATCTGCTGCACTATGGTGTGCAGCATGGTGTGCAGCATGGTGTGCAGGGTGTGCAGCATGGTGTGCAGGGTGTGCAGCATGGTGTGCAGCAAAGCCACGGCCACGGCCACCGCCTCCGTCTCTTTTCTTGCTTGATCCTTCATCATCACCACAAGCAAATATGACCATTGATATAAGTGAGAGAGACATAAGAATCATGCAGAGCAAAAGTATCCCCCCCGAGTTGTCTTGAATGATGCCTAGTTCCTCTGCGTGGCCACCACCTAGAACAACATATGCTCCTCTAGCCATTTTTTCGATGAGTTACAATATTAGCTAACTGTTCGTTAATCCAAGCATATATATATATTTATAATGTAATGTCAACAAATGCCGTGTGCAATTCCAAGTCCTGCTATTTAAAGTTTTAATAATAAAAAATTTGAAAGTTGGATAAGAGATGTTATCTCCACCTTACATTGCACCCCACGTGGATTGCATGTCACTAAGGCTTGCGGGCAATTATGTTCACATTAGACTACATGTTGTGAGGGTGGTCCACTCTGGCCAAATAATAATATGCCCATGAGAAAATGTGATCATGGCGCCCTCGGTTGATTTGATCCTTGATAAAAATAAAAATAAAATAAAATAATCTGCAAAGAAAGAATGATCCCAACTTCGTGTGATACCGATTATAACAATTCCTAATGGATGGTGTAATATTTCTTGTACTTGTACTTCGAGTTTTTTCTTTAGTTCATTCATTTTTTGATTGACTGATTAGTAAGGAATTTGCTTAATTTAATTCAAGAATGGAAGTATAGAGGTTTATCTATACTATATTTTAGGGGTGGGCACAGTTCGGTTTGGACCGGTTTTTGCCTCAAATTAGAACCGATCCGGTACTATTTATCCAGTTCGATTTTAATAAAAAAAATTTCAAAAACTATCCGGTTCAAGTTGAACCTATTTCGATCCGGTTTTGGTTTTGAACTGGATTATAAAAATTATTTTTTAATACAATTTTCAACTGAAATTTTATTTTTTGACTTGAAAATTAACAAATTATTCAATTTCATATAAAATAAATATTAAAGCTAGAAAAGATAGATATTTTGAAATTGAACTTGGATAAATATTAGTTATGAGATTAAAAATATAGCATTGAATATAAATAAATAATGAAATTATATCTTTTTTAATTTGACCAGTTCGGTTTGGCCCGGTCCAATTTTTGAAGACATAGAATCGGAACCAAAACCGGTCCAAACCAATCCAGTGTGATTTTTGACTAGTTGTTGACTTTTTGGTTAACTCGGTTTTTTTCCGATTTGGTTCGGTGCAGTTCGGCTTGGATTTCCGGTTCGCCGGTTTGAATGTCCACCCCTACTATATTTAAGAGAATCCTCTTCGTTAATTAACCAGGATGAATTTTTATAATATTTTTAATAGATTATTATAAATAAACCCAATCCTAGACATGTATTTATAAAAAAACCCAAACACTATTTAAACATAGAAACACACCCAAAATCAACCCCAAAATCAACAATTATATATTTTTTGGGTGTGTTTATAAATGGGTTTTGAGTGTGTGTAATGATGGGCACTTCATAGAAGCTTCGTTCTTCACAACCTGATGTTGAAAGGCTTGAAGAGACAGACAGAAACTTGCGAAAATTTTCAAAGAGAAAGGGATAGCTAGCTAGGTTGAGCTGCAATAATTGCTGCAAAATTTTCACGAAAATTTGCTTCGTGAAAATGCTAAGAAGATCAGATGTGAGATTTTGTTTCTCTTCCTTAAATGCTAAGAAAAATACTTACATCCACTCCAGATTCCATCTCCACCCCATTGACATTGACCAATGATATTTTTGTACATGTCTTTTCTTTTTAATTTTTGGTTTTTTCACAATGGTCCTAAGGTTGGCGAAATTATCACATTTGATCTTTTATGTTTTTTTTTTGACATTATTAGTCATTTATCAATTTGGTCTTGCTATTAGGTTCCGTCAAAATTTCTGTTAAATTGTTGACGTGGCACATATGTGGTGCCACATATCCAATAAAATAATCAAACATGGCTTTAAATAAAATATAATGATATATTTTAAATAGTTTAAAACTTCAAATCCTTTTTAAAAAAAAAAGAAAATTAAGTCTTTTTATAAAATAGGAACAAAAACAAAAATACATGCAACCATCCCCCTCTACGTTCTCCCTCTGCCAACGGCCCCCACCTTCGTAGACCCACTCTTGGCCTCTCTCTCTCTCTCTCTCTCTCTATTGAAATTTTGGTTAATTTCGTCCTTTCTCGGGTGGGGCTAGGATTTGGATAGAGGTTGAGGGTGGATCTCGGGTGGGGATGCTGGGGGTGGTTATATGATGGCTCTGGGTAGTGGGGTCAGGTGGTGGCTGTTCGGTTCATTTTTACACATGATTTTTCATGTTATTCACCCACTATTTTGAGTTAGTTCTTGACATTTTATAACTTTTTACTTCCTTTTTGTGTTTTCTTAGATTTTACCTTGGTTGGAATGAAAATGAGCTAAAAGTGCATTATTAGTTATAAATTTTGTTTTTGTTCATTTTCGTAGGTCAACTTCTTGGCCTGGGATCAACATGCTCTGGTGCTCGGATGGGGTCATGATCTTCATGAGACTTGTTCCAATGGATGTTAACTACAACATATCCAAATTTGAGCTCCATTGGACAAGTATTGCCTATCCAACCAATCCAGCATGTTACCACAGCTCTGGAAATCCG